ATCAGCTCCTGTCTCCAAGTTCCTGCCCTGCTTGAGTTCCTGTCCTGATGTCCTTCATATAGCTGTGGCTATTGCTCTGTATGCTGTGAATGTGTTGCTTTGATTTGTTAATAAATAAAACGCTGATTGTCCAGTAGCCAGGCAGGAATTATTGGCGGGACAAAGAGAGAGGAGAATTCTGGGAAGAGGAAGGCTGAGTCAGGAGTTGCCAGCCAGACACAGAGGAAGCAAGATGTGAAGGCAGAACTGGGAATAGTTACCAAGCCACGTGGCTAAACATAAATAAGAATTATGGGTTAATTTAAGTGTAAGATCTAGCTAGCAAGAAGCCTGAGCCATTAGGCCAAAGAGTTTTAATTAATATAAGCGTCTGTGTGTTTATTTGGGTCTGAGTTGCTGCAGGCCCGGGCAGGACTGGAGAAAACTCCAGCTACACTTCACTGATGAACAGAGATTTGGAAGTGTAAGCCAAATCCAAATAAGTCCTTTCCTCCCCAGTTTGCTTTTGGTCATGGTATTTATTTCCTTTGTTTAAATAATTAATTTTTTTTGTTTTCAATACATCCCAAACAGTTTCCCCTCCCTCCACTCCTCCCAGTCCTAGTACCCCTACACTCCCCTCTCCCCAAATCCACTCCTTCTCCATTTCCATTCAGAAAAGAGCAGGTCTCCCAGGGATATCACTTGTCATGATATTTCATCACAGCAATAGTAGCCCTAACTAAGGCAGAAGGTTATATATTCACAGGTTTTGAGGATTAGGAGGTTGATGTCTTTGAGGGTCATGATTCTGGTTCTTATAGGATTTTGCCCATATGGAAGTCATTGTGGTATGCTCTGAATAACTAGTAGTGAACAAATAATAGCACTCCTTGTTCTGAAGGAAGTCTAATAGCTGTCACTGTGCTCTAACCACTTACAATCTTGACCTCTGTTCTCCCAAAAGTCTGTCAGTTATATGTGACAGCACCAGAAGCCAACTTAAGCTACCAACTCCATGTCAAACTTGGCTCTTTTCTTGCTTTCAACTCTGATAATCAGTTTTCAAGTCCTGTTCAATCAGCCTGGGAAGGATTCAAGTACTTCCTTAACATCACCTCTAACACTGACCTCATCAGTTGCCACTAATCCTAGTAATCCATTGTAATCACTTCCTAGCCTGTTTCTTGCCACTGATCTAACTCCATTTCAGTCCATTGCCCTCTCCATTTCTAGAGTTCCCATGCTGAAGAAATCTTATTTTCTCTCTTCAAACTGTTCATTACTTCTTATATTAGAGTTGAGTGTGCTAAAGTCTCTTACTCTTTGCACATTATCTAGTTGTGGGTGTTGCAGAATATTTGTACACTGTGTGAAGATGTGTTGTTGGATTGGTGTAATAAAGAGCTGAATGGTCAATAGCTAGGCAGGAAGTAGAAGCAAGACTTCCAGGGACAGAGAGGACTCTGGGAAGAAGAAAGATAGAGATGCCAGGAGATACAGAGCAAACAACTTCTAAAACTATAGAAATGACAGAAACAGCTGGCTGCCTGGACAGTCACCCAAGGTTCCTCTGCAATGTTGGGGCATACATCTTTCTCCTATCTCAAAAGATACTAGCTAATGCTCTCAGGACTTAAAGCAATGTTCTTACAACTGGTTCAGACATTTTTCATGACTATGATGCAAAGAGGAAGTTATTACAAAGGACTCAAAATTCTAATGATAATCTGAGGTGTTACTATGAACATGGAAAGTGTTATACACTGTAACTTGAAGTGAAGGTCCAACCTGCACTTTATGTAGATAGACTTCTCTATTTGGGCCACTCTCTCTCTCTCTCTCACACACACAAAAAAAAAAAAACCACCCAAAACAGATTTATTATTAATTATGAAAGCTCAGCCTTAGCTTAGGCTTGTTTCTAACTGGTGCTTATAACTTAGATTAACCCATATTTTTTAATCTATGTTCTTCCACATGCTCATTACATCATCTCAATTATGCCCATCCTGGTTTTCTGCATTTGGCTGGCCACTAAAAAAAAAGTCTGTCTACATGTGTGTCTCTGTATTAATTTCCATCTACTTCAAGAAGAAACCTCTCTGATGAGGGTCGAGTAATGCACTGATTTATGGGTATAGCAATATGCTGTTTTATTTTATTCTATGTTTCTTTAGCAGAATAATAGTAGTAGGCTTTCTTGTAAGCCCATTACCTATTTAGTCTTAGGTTCTTAGCCTCATTAATAGTGTCACATATGGTTTCTATCTCATAGAACAGGCCTTCGCTGTTAGTTGTCCCTCCTCATGTTTCCTCCTTTTCCCCGCCTTTCCATCCTCCTGCCCATCTAATCCTCCTATTCTAGTTTCCCTTTACCTTCCTATAGTACTATACTCTATTTCTTCTTCCTTGGAGGAGTCCACCCTTCCCCATGCTCCCTTACTAGCTACCTAACCTCTGTGCTTATTTGGATTGAAACACACATGTCTAAAGCTTAAAAGTTAACATCTACATATAAGAGAAAACATTCAATATTTGTCTTTTGGAGTCTGGGTTACTTCACTCAGAATGATTGTTTCTAGCTTCATCCATTTACCTGAAAACTTTATAATTTCATTTTTCTTAACAGCTGAATCGTTTTCCATTGTGTAAATGTACCACATTTTATTTATCCATTCATCATTTGATGGAAATCTGGGATGTTTTCAATTTCTGGCTATTATGAACAGAGAAGCAATGAACATGGATGAACAAGTATCTTTGTAATACAAAACAGAGTCCTTTGTGTATTTGCCCTAAAGTGGTATAGCTGGAAATTTTGGTAAGTCAATTTTCAGCTTTTTTTTTTTTTGATACAATGTTTCTCTGTGTCAGAGTCCTGGATATCTTGGAACTCACTTTGTAGTTGGCCTCAAACCCACAGAGATCTGCCTACTTCTGCCTCAAACTCATCCAGATCTGCCTGCTTCTGTCTCCTGAGTGCTGGAATTAAAGGCATTCACCATCATTCCTGGCAACAATTTTTAGCTTCTTGAGGAACCTCCACATTGATTTCCATAGTGGCTGTACCAGTTTGTACTCCCACCAGCAATGAATAAGTGTTCCCCTTTCTCTGCTTCTTTGCCAGCATGTCCTGTCATTTGCTTTATTGATCTTGGCCATTCTGACTGGGGTAAAGTGCAATCTTAAAGTAGTATTAATTTATATTTCCCTCATGGTAAAGGATGTTGAACACTTTAAAAATGTTTCCTATGTATCTGCATTTCTTCTTTTTAGTTCCATAGCCTATTTTTAATTGAATTATTTATTTTCTTAATGTTTTATTTTTGAAGGTTTTGTTTTACTATATTGTAGGACTAATCTTCTGTGGGATGAATAGCAAGGTATACCTTTGGCCATAAAGAAATCCAGTTATTTCAAAAAAAATCTTTTTTTAAAGACCTCAAAAAAATCTTAATAAAAGTGCTTTTAATCCAATGGAATAGAATATACCCAGTTGAGTGGGAATTCATATGCTCTAGGTACATTGTATTTATGTATGGATTACCAAAGACTGTATAATTAAAAAATGTTTATTTTAAAGTCATCTATACTTTAGTAGAAGTCTCAGGAACTTATCTTGGATTCTTGTCATTACATGTTTTATTGTGAATATGTGTCATTGAAATATTAGAGAATCTTTTAAGCCCCTGTTCAAAAAGATTGGCAAGAACAGGTCTAGAAAGGGATTAGAAGACAAAAGCCTTTAAGTAGTCATTTTGTGCCCAGATCAACCCCCAGAGAGATCACTGAAGATGAGCATGCCAGAATGCCAAAGCAAGGTTTATTGAAGCAGTTCAAGCCCATGGCAGGGACCTCGTCAAGCCATCCAACACAGTAGAGGCTGGAGGAGGTGCCTGCCCCTCTGCAAGTTCAGGTTTTAAAGGCAAAACCCACAAGGTTACATCATTTAGGGGTGCTGTACGGGTACAATTCTGATTGGCTTGCTTCTAGAGACTTTCTAGAAATCATGGCTTAATCTCATTTCTAAGGGGGTGGTTGCCCCTCACCATTTCTCATTGGCTGCCCTCAGGTGGGGACATTTCTGTGGTCAGTTACCATGGAAACCAGGGTTGGAACATTCCTTGGTTAAACAGTCATCACAGAATGAATACCTTGTGACTCTGTACTTTGTACTTTCTAATTTCTGGAATCTGGGTTGACTGGTTCCATCCAGTAACTCAAGGCCTGTTCCAGTAACTCAAGGCCTATACCTAAAATGGAGAAAGTGTAGGCCTTATTTCTAACGTGGAGGCATTTTGTTCTCATTTTGGTCTCACAGTCAAATAATCATACCACTCCAAATCTTTCATCAAAACAAAGAAAAGCCAAAATGCATAAAGAAACACAAAATAAATGGTTGTGGATAGGAACATCATGTTATGTGTCCAACTATGTGAAAACCGTGGGGCAGGAGCTAACAGGCAAACGGAATGAAGCATTGCAATGTTCACATTAAGTATACCACATCCTTGTCTTTGTGAGGGCTTCCAAAGTGGAATTCCTTGGGTAAGTTGAAATTGTGATGGCTACCAGGAGTAACCAAACATCTGAGATGAGATTCCAGACATAGTTCAATTCTTTTTTCTTTTAAGACAGGGTCTCAGTAAGAAGCCCTGGCTGTCCTGGATCTCTCTCTCTGTAGACTGGCCTTGAACTCACAGAGATCTGCCTGCCTCTGCCTCCCGAGTGCTGGGATTAAAGGCATAGCCAGCACACCTGCCTTCAGTTCTTGAAGGTCCTCTCAAGACATTACATCTGTGCATGGCTGTCACCTGTGGACATGACGTTCCTGTCCAAATTGGTGGCAATCAAGTCCTAACCCAGAGGCCTTCGTGTTTGCTGCTTTGCCTGTGCTTCGCTGTGGTACGTAGAGCTTTTCAAGGGCCATGGAAGGCGTGCTCCACGCCCTGCCCCCCAACCTTCCACTCGCCAGCGGAAGTGTAGCGCCCCCCCATCATCCCCTGCGAGTGGTGCGCGCGCGCCCCACAAAGGAAGTGGGCCCCTGGCGTGGGCCCCTGCTTTGTGAGGAACTTGAGGTCCGGGGCTGGTCGACGCGCTCCGGTCCCCCCGGAGGACTCCGGGCTGGCCGTGTCAGTGACAGCCACAGGTACCGAATTCTCAGAAACTGAAGAAGTTCGTGGCTGCCTCAGTTTCTTAGGCTTTTTTTTTTTGTTAATCTCTGAGGTGGGGGGCTTCCCGGCGTCTACCGGACATAGGCCGAGAACTAAGGGGCTGCGGCCTCTAGACCCCGTTACCTAGCAGTGAGGATGCCGGCCGTGTGAGGCGCGGGTGAGGTGGGGAGGCGGCTTTCTTGGTGGCCACATGAGTTAGGGATGTAACGGAGTCAGGAATTCATGACGGCTGACAGCCGTGATTTCCACCTCTCTTGGCCAACCTGGCGTGTTCTTCTTTCCTTTAGGGGCCCTGACTTGCTCTTAGGATGGAGCGGAATGTAGAGGCGGCTTTGGAGCGGGCGGATGATATTATTGAGTCTGTCCAGCAGCAGCCCCCTCCAGCGAGACCCGCGTCTAACGGGGAGAAATCTCTTCAGGAGAAACTGTATGACATTTATGTTGAGGAATGTGAAAAAGAGCCTGAGGCAGAGGGCCTTCGAAGCAATGTCAACTTGCTAGAGAAGCTGATGAAGAGAGAGGCGTTGCCATGCTTAGTGGTCAACCTGTACCCCGAAAATCAGGGCTATTCTCTCATGCTCAAGGACAAAGATGGAGCCCTTATAGAGCCCCTTCCAGTGTCTTATGTAGGACAGAAACTGCTGGAATATTTGGATGCTGAAGCGTTACCTTCTTTTCTGATTGATGTCCTGGAAAAGTCTCCTGTGAATGTTTTTCACCATGGGTGCGTCGTAGCAGAAATCCGAGACTTCAGGCAGTGCGCTAGCATCTACCCTCCTGAAGAGCCTGGTCCAGAGCCTGCTGCGTCGTCTACTGAGCCCTGTCTTGCTTACCAAACTCGGCATATTCTCTTACGTCCAACCATGCAGACTCTAGTGAGTGACGTAGAGTCCATAACAACAAGTGATAACCGTCAGTGGACCCAGGAAGAAAAACTTGAGCTTGAGAGCCAACTGCTCTTAGCTACAGCAGAGCCGCTGTGTCTGGATCCCTCTGTTGCTGTTACCTGCACGACCAACAGACTGCTGTTTAATGACCAGAAGAGGAACACTGACCCCATGAAACAAAGCTTCAAGACGCATGACTGGCTCTATCGAGAACTGGAGGGAGATAGGTACATACGTACAAGTCCTCCTGATGTTGCCACAATGATTGCGTGCAGAAAACGAGCAGAGAGAAAACCAGGTGACTATGACATGAAGATTGCTGAAGCAGCCAAGTGTGTAGATATGTGGAAGCAGAGACCCTGTGAATTGGTGGCCCCTTCAGAGGTGGACGTGCAGAAATATGCTAAAGGAAAGCCGTCCGCGTCCCACAGTGACTCAGCATCAACAACCTGGCCAGCTTCGGAGGTAAAATATAGTTATGGATTTGATTGTGAAGAGGGCAGTCAGCCATGGGAAACAAAAGCCAAGTATGACTCAGTCCCTTAGTGACCCATTTTTTTTTTCTCCTGAAATAGGGCCACCAACAAAGGGCAGATAGCCAGATCTATCTTCTCCAGGTTGCCCCAAGTGATTGTTCACTTGGTTCTAAAGCTGGGGAAAAGATGCAGGCTGGGAAGGCATTGAGTGTGTGCCAAGGGTCTGTCCAGAGCAAGGCTGAGTGTTTAGGCAAAAGGCTGCAGGGCTCCACTGACCCCATCTATCTTGGCCAGCCCTCCCTAGGGAGGAAGGGCAAATCTCATTCAGGGATAGCCACAGTCTTAGAGATGAGAGTTAAGACTCCAGTTCCACTGTTCACACTGCCTCCACCTCAGGACAGGGCTCTCCAGCAATCAGTCCTCCATCAGTACCAGGCAGAGGTAGGAAGCTTCTGAGACTTACTCCTTCTCTCAAATCAGCCAGCCTGGCTCAGCAAGTCTCCTGGGGAGCGAGCACTGTTAACATCCTTCCTCCAGCTGTCCAGCCCTGGGCCAGCTCATCAGAGAGCCGGCCAGCCACCAAGGGCCCCAGCAGTGGCGCTGGCCAAAATGTCAGCAGGTTGTTTGTCCTAGCACAGGCGGCCCCTGTTTTGAAGAGTAGTCCATCCCAGATGTGGCGCTTCCTCACTAGTGCCCCAGCATGTTAGGGAAACCTTTTCCAGAGGCTTTCTGCCTCCTAGAGCTCAGATGCCCAGTTCCCAGATCAGAGCACCACAGCGCTCTGAGCAGACATCTGTGAAATTAATTGTCAAAAATCCTTCAGGCCCCGTAACTGTCAGGCTTCAACCTGGCTCTGTCATTTTGCGCCCAGAGGCACAAATGCAGCAGCCGCAGCCATGGGCATGGGCATGCCACCATAGCAGCAGCTGCCATGGGCATGGCTGTATCCACAGCCAGAGCTGCAGTGGCACCAGCAGCCAGAACTTTGGTATGTGTTCATTCCAAAACAGCAGCAGCCACCTAGGGCTTCCATCTCTCCAGAGCCAGTGCCACTACCCGACCGGCACAACCAGAGATCTAGCTTTCAGCAATGGGTGGTGCCAAGTCAGCAAGCTGGTCTCTTTAACCTTGCTGAGGGCAGGAGGGTTCACCATCCTCAGGCAACTGTGGGATGTCAGGTGGGCTGTACCCAGAGTCCTGGACAGACCATTCTGCCTTCACAAAGCTTCCAGCACCCTGCTGCCTAGGTAGAACAGCTGCAGGCCCAGGGCTAGAATGTGCAGCTGAGATTCGTGCCATATATATATATATATATATATATATATATATATATATATATATATATATATATATATATATATATATATATATATATATATATATATATATATAGTGGCTGTGCCCAGAGCAGCCCCTCAGCATAGTCATCAGGGACAAGCAGTGGCCAGTACAGAGGTGCAGGGAGGGAAGGGGAGGGGAGGGGAGGTCCACCAACCACCCCAAAGTCATTTAAGTCCTGCCATAGTCTCTCCCTCTCTCAAAATTACATCATTGAGCTGAATCAATTCTCAGTTTTTACTTCACTTTTGGTGGTTTTAATGTACCAATGTTTTACAGTTTAAAAACACAAAAGCAGGGCTGGAGAGATGGCCCAGAGGTTAAGAACACTGGCTGTTCTTCCAGAGGACCTGAGTTCAATTCCCAGCACCCACATGGTGGCTGAAAACCATCTGTAGTGAGATCTGGCTCCCTCTTCTGGCCTGCAGGGATACATACAAACAGAACACTGTATACATAATAAATAAATAAATCTTTATATAAAAAAAACACAAAAGCTCAATACGAGAGTTTTACATAGAACACAAGAATGAATTTTTAAAACTGGTGCTATTTTATTTCTTACTCTCTTTGATGTTGATAGAATCAAGTTTATTGTAGTGTTTTTATGTGTATCTACATCTAAGCTATATTAATTTTAGTTTCTTCCAGATTGTCTTTTCTATTAAAATTGCAACAATATAGTTTAAGTTAATAACTTAGCAATGATTTAGAGGTTTATTTGTAAATGATTAAAAACAAGTACATATTTTGCTGTTTTAAGAAAAAAAATGGAATGTATTGTCCTTAATGACTTTTCTTTTTCTTTTTTCCCCCTGAGACAGGGTTTCTCTGTGTGTAATTCTAGCTGTCCTGGAACTTCTTCTATAGATCAGACTGATCTTGAAGTCACAGAAATCCTCCTGCCTCTACCTCCTCAATGTTGGAATTAAAGGTATGCACCAGCACTGCTCAGCCTATTTAAACAATTTTAAGGTCACAGCTCAGTATTAGTACAATCCTAATGTTGTGCAACACAGTTCTAGAACCTCATTTTTTCGGTGTTGAAACTGTACTGCTAAGCATCAAATCACCCATTTCCTGTCCCCGCCCCTGGCTGCCACCCTTGACTACGTTTCCAGGAGTCTGCGTGCTCCCAGTACCTCACATGCGTGGAAACATGAGGTGGCTATTATAACAGGCAGTCTTTTCACTTGGCATGATGTCCTCAAGGTTCGTGCCTGTTGTGCCTTGTGTCAGGAGGTCGGTGCTTTGTAAAAATCATTTCCCTGTGTTAAATACGTAAGGAATGGACTTGTGAACCAGGAGGGATGTCTTTCAGGAGAATTTAGTTTAAAAGGCCTGTGTGACCTGCAGTGGCTGCAAGTGCACTGTGAAAAACTAATACCAAAGGAGACCAGAGCAGAGGAAGGTGGTCACACTGAAATGGAGTGCCCCCAGACACGCGCCCCTGTGCAATCGAGTCGGTAGCAAATTTGTGTAGGACCGGCCCAGCCCTTGGAAGGTTTCCCTGCACTCGGTGCTCGGCAGACCCCAGCTGTCCTCCGGACCCTGCCACTGGCCTGGAAGAGGCAATCCGGGATGGCTCGCTGTGGATCTCCTCGTGAGGCCCTTTCCATGTTTTAGAACATTCTAGGTTACTTGGACGAAGGAGATAAGCACTTGGAAACTCAGGTTTCTGGTCTGCTTCTGCAGTGCCCACAGCCTTCTGAGGCTGCTAGGTGAGATGCCCTCCTCCTCTGCCCTTCCCCTGACTCTGTTTATTCCTCATCAGTTGTTCAACACCCCCTGCCAGGTCACCCCATTCCAGCTTTCCTTGTTTCAATGGACTGAACTGTTCTGTCCTTTTTCCTTATTCCCTGAGAGTCGAGGTGTGTTGGGCTGGAGAGATGGCTCAGCCGGTAAAGGCTGGGCTCACAACCAAACTGTGAGAGAGGCGAGGAGTGATGAGTTCTGTAACAAACGTTTACCTGTGCCAAGGGAACACTGACGTTCCCCTAAACACGTTAGCACTTACGACGGTGGCGGTGCCGTGCGGCCAGCCCCTCTGTCTGTTTCCGAGACATGCTCAGCACTTCCAGAGAAGTCCTGGACTATTAAGCACTGTGGAGGAAACCATCCTCCCCTGCCCTCAGCCACTGGCCACCGCCAGTTTGCTCTGTGGCCCTATGGATTTCGTAGTTGTCGGTGTTGATATTAGGTGGATTGTACAGTGTTTTGTACATTTTGTGTCTACATTTTTGCCTGGCACGTGTTTGATGTTTATTCATCTTGGACTATGTACCAGCACTATGTACCAGTGCCTGTTGGGCACAGTCACATTGCCTTGTCTGTACATGGCCCGCTCTGTTTGGGCTGTTTCCACCTTTTGCCTACTGTGGGTAGTGGTGCTGTCCACATTCATGTACAGGTGTCATTTTACTGGTTATGTTTTGTTCTTTAGTAACTCTTAAGGATAATCTGCCCACATGGCATTTGCCTTTGTAAGTGCACATGTATGTTTATTTGCCTTTTGCCTAAGAAGTGGAAACTCGGCCTGTCGGTTCTGAAAGAGATTAGCGAAGGGACAGTAACCGTGATGTCACCGGCACAAACCTACACCGAGGTCCTGCTGATGCTCTTCAACAAAGATTTGGCCTCCTTCAAGCCACCAGAGGGACAGAGAGCTGACTGGAGCATCCTGGACATGGCTGGGAGTGGAGCCTGCACTTGGAAGAAGTGAACTGGTCCAGTGAGCAGTTGCAAAGAACTCAAGCTCAGCCCTCAGAGCCAAGCAGATCTGACCTCAGCGTGCTGCCGGATTTCCTGTCCTTCCTCCCTTTGCTCTGTAACTGGTCCATTCAGGTACAATAAGCAGAATGTTTTGCTTGAGAGATGTGTCCTTTTTTTTCAGACAGGCAAATAAATTCATCTTTGTTTCCAATTACCAGTTAGTAGCATCTGTTTATTTCCCTGGAATTATCTCCACCCTGTTATCACTTTGTGTATTGTTCCTATTAAGAATATTAGCTAGCTACATTTTATTTTATTTTATTTTATTTTTTTGGTTTTTCGAGACAGGGTTTCTCTGAGTAGCTTTGAGCCTTTCCTGGAACTCACTTTGGAGACCAGGCTGGCCTCGAAGCACAGAGATCCGCCTGCCTCTGCCTCCTGAGTGCTGGGATTAAAGGCGTGCGCCACCACCGCCCGGCTCTATCTTTTTTTTTTTTACATTTTATTTTTTTAACATAATTTTTATTGATTCTTTGGGAATTTCACATCATGCATCCAAATATACTTACCTCTCAGACCCTCCATATCTTTCCCTCACCCCTGTAGCTTGCCTCCCAAAAGACCCCCAAAAATAATTAAATACAAAACAAAACAAAACCCACACCTCTCCTCTGTCTTTCCAAGACCTCTTCATTCATCCATGGCATGTGGTGTGTCCTGCAGTATACCTCTTTGTCCAATCAGCCCCACCCGAAAATGTCCATTGCAGTGAGTCATTGGTCTGGATCATCACTGGACCGTCACCAAAACTCTTGCATATCCTGCTGTTGTCCTGAGTCATGGAGATCCTGCCGATCTCACTGGACCAGACCCTTCAGACACCCCAGCAGGTCAATAATGGGGCAGATGATAGGGTGGGTCAACCCAAGGCCCAGGATGTGGGTCTGGGTGGTAGCTGAGCTAGTGACTGGGGACTGCCCCCTCAGGCAAGGGGCAGAGCCAGCTCTCTATGCCCATGCCATCGGGGCCAGCTCTTCCACAACCTTGGTAAACAGTGGCAGCCCTCTATCCTGAGTGGGGGATGGCCAGCCATCTGAGGTCCAGTAAAGGGTGGGGTCAGCTCAGCATGGCCCTCAGATTTCAACACACATGGTTCCTATGACCCACCTGTGGTAACACGGGCTATGGACATCACCACAGACCCCAGCTGCAGCCGGAACATGGACATCACCATGGCCCCTGTGGCAGCACAGGCCACCCTGAGTCAGTGTGGCCCAGCGGCAGCAAGGCCCTCAGACACCAACATGGTCTCAGGTGGCTGTCCAGACACTGGATGTCTGCATAGCCCCCAGTGGCAACAGGAGCCACAGACATCAACCCAGACCCTGGAGCCAGCTACAATTTATGATTTCACTTGACTTTGGTGTCATGAGAACCTGGAACATCTTTTTTTTTTCCCTCTTTTTTTTTGGACAATGTTTCTCATAGTCCTGGTCATCCTGGAGCTCACTGTGTAAAACAGGCTGGCCTCAAACTCATTGAGATCCTCCTGCCTCCTGAGTGCTGAGACTAAAGGTGTGCACCACTACCACCCAGCTTCTCTTTCCTAATTCAAGATGAATTCTTACCATTCAAAATTAATTAATCAATCAATTTCTTTCTTTATTTCTTGTGTGTGTAAGTATAAGTATTTGTAGAGATCAGATGACTGCTTTTGGGATCTGCCTTACACCTTTTTTTTTTTTTGAGGCAGAGTCTCTCTTGCTGTTCCTGCTGCTGTGCTGTGTACCGCAGGGGAGATAGCTCTTGAGCTCCAGGGTTATTCTCCAGTTTCCACCTCTCATCTCATGTTAGAGAGCACTGGGGTTACAGCTGTTGGCCAGAACACCTGCATTTTTACATGAGTTTTGGGAATTGAACTTGCCTTGTCATGCTTGTGTGGCTAGCACTTTTACCCTCTGAGACATCTCTCTGGCCTCAACATTTATTTATTTATTTATTTATTTATTTATTTATTTATTTTCAAAATTAGTTTTTCAAAAATCATGCCTCCAGAACTCTTTATTTTTTTTCCTTCCTTCCTTCCTTCCTCCCTCCCTTTCTTCCTTTCTTTTTTTTGGTACCAAAATTCTTTATTTGAAGAAATGGTACAAATTAAAGAACTTAAGCGGATGTTTTGGAGCGACTTTTAGAAAAGATAAAGGCAGCCCGACATGCATGCATGGCCTCAGTGGCTAGTAAAGTCGCTTGTGGCTTTGGGGAAGTCAGCTTAGCTCTCATCACTGAGTCCCAAGGTGTGCTTGTCAGAGATGTCCGGCCAGGCCAGTTTCAGGGGCTCCCAGCTTGCGGAGGTTGGTCATGTGGTCACCCAGTTCTTTGATGGATTTCACCTGCTCATTCAGGTAATGGGTCTCAATGAAGTCACCCAAGTGGGGGTCATTTTTGTCGGTAGCCAGTTTGTGCAGTTCCGGTAGTGACTGATTCACACTCTTCTCCAATTGCAGTGCACACTCCACCGCATTCAGCCTGTTCTCCCAGTCATCATGGTCTGGTTTCTTGATATCCTGCAGGAAGATTCGGCCACCTCGTTGGTTCTGTAGCTCCATCAGTTTCTCAGCATGCTCCCTTTCCTCATGAGATTGGTGGAGAAAGTATTTGGCAAAGTTCCTCAGAGCTACTGTTATGCCCAGATAAGGACCCCCAAAGAGACTATCAGGAGACCAGATATATCCAGAATGCAATAGCAAGGTTTACTTCTTGGTGCAATACGAGCTAGCAAGGAACCCTCGTCCGCAGTGCCCGGCAGCGAGGCAGGGAGGAGAGTTCCTCTTTCTTGGGGAGATTAGCTTTTGAAGGAAAAAACCACAAAATTCTTCAGAGGAGGGGGTTAGTACAGGTCCACCCTTGATTGGTCCAGTTTTCCTGAGTTTGGACTTTTATTTTTTTGCTCTGTCAGGAGTTTTACAGCCCATCTCCAAAATTTGGTCATATTATCTCAGGGGAGGGGGGCGTCTCGTGGTTAGCTACCACCAGACAGTCTGATTTTGTACTTTTAAAACTTCTGACTTCACCCTGTCTGGAAATGGGAACTGACTTGGCTCTGGCTATTTTAAGATGTCCCTTTCCTCAACTCTCCGGGGCTTAGGGGGAACTGGGGTGGGGGGGTCTCTCACTACATCATCCCGGTCGAAGTCGCAAGACATAGACAGATAGAGTAGGAGGCTTACAGTTCCAGGTTGATCTGGCGGTTGATGGCAGCCTCGGAGTCTTGGTGGTAGTTCTGGCACACTTGCGAGGGAGACGTGCTGGTCATGGCAGCGGCGGGCAACGCTGGAGCAGCGGAGAGACCAGGGTTGCAAAGGGTTCTGGCTCGGAGCAGCCGGCTGGGGTCGGAGGGGTAGAGCACCGGTTAGGTTCAAGCACTGCTGAAGCAGGAACCCGGGGCGACTCTGGGCGAGAACGTCTCCAGACCCTTTTCAAAGTGTGTTCATAGTGAGAGGGTTATATGAATGTAGGTGGACCAGAATTATTCAACAGGTTACACAGAAGATGGTATCACACATGAGCATCCAGTAACAACCAGGTAGCCTTAGTACAGCAGGATATGTGTGGCCAAAGAGGGCCTTTGTCACAAGGGATGTTGAGAACAAGCTAATTCCTTGAAGATACATGAAGGGAGTGCCTTTGCCATAGAGTGCTGTGAAAATCCTATTGGAATCCTGGTGTGGTGGCATATGATTATAATCTCAACAGTTGGAGGAGGATGCAGGAAGATCAGTAGTTTGAGGCCAGTCCAGTTAGATGGCGTGATCTCATCTCACATAGCAATAACATAGGACATAACATGGCCCCCATATGTAATTTAAATTTTTTCATAGCCACATTTTCAAAATTAAAAACAAACAACAAAACAAGAGACATTACTTCAGTAAAACTTACTTGGTCCAGTCCAGTCCATCTAAAATATTATCATTTCCATTTTACCAATGTTTACAAATTCTCAATGAGACCTTGTATATTTTCAGTCCCAGTGTTCTAATAGACATTGTCTCAATTGAGATGCTAAATTTTCATAAAATATACTTGATATTGGCGGGGCTAACGGCTCAGTTGGTTAAGTGCTTGCTTGCATTGCAAGCCTGAGTCTGGTATCCCAGAAACCACACGAAAAAGGAAAAAAACAAAACGAAACAACAAGAAAACCGGTATAGCGGTGCAGAGGCACACAGGTCTCTGGGGCTCGAGGGCCAGTTAGCGTAGCCTACGTCACAAGATATCGGCCAGTAAGAGGCCTTGCTTAAAAAAAAAAAAAAAAAAGGCAGATGGTACCTGGAAGAGACAGCTGAGGTTGGCCTCTAGCCTCCAAGTGGCCCCGACTCCCAACACATACACACACAGACACACAAATACATGCTATGAATTGAGATTTGTAGAAAACTTAGAGTTGAAATGCAGATTCAGGGGGGCTGGAGAAATGGCTCCGTGGTAAGAGTGCTGGCCGCTGTTCCGGAGGACCCAAGTTATGGTCTCAACTCCCATGTCGTGTGGCTTACAGCTGCCTGTAACTTCAGCTCCAGCGGATCCACTCCCTTCTTCTGGCTTCCTCAGTATGTGCGTGCATGTGCACATGCACACAGACACACATGTATACATAAATAATCTTCACTACAAAGGAAGAAAATGCAGAGTCAATTCTCAAAAGTACTTATAATTTTCCTGATAATTATAAGTGAATCAAGCATCAATTTTTAAATTTTAGTTTATTTTTTGTTTTTGGAGACAGGGTTTCTCTTTGTAGCCCTGGCTGTCCTGGAACTCACTCTGTAGACCAGGCTGGACTTAAACTCAGAGATCTGCCTGCCTCTGCCTCCTGAGTGCTGGGATTAAAGGCATATGCTGCAATTTTTAGGTTTTAAAATAATTTCAGGTAAACCAAATTTAAAAATTAGCTCTTTATTTTCGCTAGCTACCTTTGGAGTGCTTCGTAGCCACATGTGGTTTGGGGCTTTTTTTCCCCCCTGGGCGGTGTTACTGGCATTCTGAAAGGATGAAGGAGCAAAGCAGAATGCAGAACAGTCTCAAGCACGAACTGAGTGCCAGATCTTTCGACTGAAGTTCACTGAAGCTCCCAGTAACAGTGATGATCCCTATGCTGGGGTGAACTTGAAATCCTCACAGTCTGTGCTTACCTGGGCTGTGATCTGCAGAAACTAAGGGGCGCCAGGCATGAGCAAGGAGGGTAAAAGAGAATGGTTTGAAAAGTTCTGCATAATCACATGCAAAATGCCCAGGAAAGGGACCCTAACCATCCCAGCAGTTAACTAAAACTCATCTAGTTCACCTTCCCAAGGGACTTGGGAGTCTGAGCAATGGGGGGGGGGGTCCTCCCTCTCTTTTTGATTTTCCTTCTAGTACTCTTGCTTATCTGTCTTCCAGGTCTGCAGTTCCTTCTGCACGGCTGATACCAGATCAGTCATGAGTGGATAGTGGTGGCGCTAAACAGGAAGTTAGCCCCAGGAGATGGTGACCAATGGCACCAACGTCTGTGTACTGCTTCTGGTTTTCTTAAACATGTTCCATTAATACAGCGTGAAATAGCAGACCTAGGGAACAACAGGCAGGCTTGATCAGGTCCCTGAAACGGTATAAAGATAATGGTGGTGATTAACTGATGATCTAGACTCCAGATAGTCCAGCTTCCCAAACTTCCCCAGATCAGCATGTAAGGGACAATGCGAGAAAGTGGTCCATGATGCTAGAAAGGGCAGATGAAAGCATCTTCAAGACTTCGCCACCAAGGGAGCATGCACAGAATGCTGTTACTCTTTTCCCTAGTAAACTTTTCAACAACTTTAAGGGTACTTAAGCCCCTATGAATAGTTTCGTATCTTATGTATCTATTTGGACTGGATTCTGGGTAAAAGTGGGATTCCATGAAGAGCGCATCCCTTTCCATGAGGTGCTTATGGGAGAGGTACAGAGAGGGACAACAGGGAGTGGAGAGATGGAAGTCCCATTCCTGCTAGGATGGAGGTCTCGGCGGCTCCGCTAGACCTACTCCCCACCCCCCATAAAGTGTTCATTCTTGCTTCCTTGCTTGCTCTAATTAAACCCTTCACTGCTTTATCGATTACTGTGTCCTATCTGAATTCTTCTCTTTCAGGAGCACAAGAACCAAGATTGCTGCTGAGGTCGAGATCTGAGGAAACCGAACACCTCCCCATAGCAATGGGAGGCGGCTTGTGGATTCAGAAGACTTTCTGTATTGGCCTCTCTACGTTCATATACATTCCAAGTTGGGCCCATTATACACACATACAGCTCTTTGAGCAGCCAAGTCTCTGAGGTTCTACGTCTCAGGAACATGCTTTGCCCCATCCATCCCAGCCTTCACTTGCTGGACCCTTGACTTGCCCTTCTGTCTTCCACTCCCTGCCTCAGCGGCAGGCAGCAAAGGGTGTTCGAGTTAATTGTTAAATTCAGTTCAACAAGTTCCTCATTAGGGACAAATTACCTGAGTTTGAAATCTGCTAATTTTCCAATCAGAGTGAGTGTTTGCACTTGTGATTTGGAAATAATTACCATATGGTAAAAGCAAAACCTATGTGGGGATTAAAGTAAAGGCGAGGGAGGACAGGGGCTTATTTTGACGCCTTTCCTGGAAGCCACGTTAGCATATGCAGATTAGTTGAGGTGCCTTAGCGGTTGGCTGGGAAAGCTCTCCTGTAGTACTTTTTGACAAAGGCTGTGCACTTCCTATAGCAATGCTTCTGAAAGGTGCCCGTAGCCTTTGATGGGAGAGGAGCGTGGTCGGAATTGGGCCACGGAAAGGGAAGGACATTTTGAATTGAGCTATTTAATCTAAAACTACCCCTATATGCTTAAGAGATTTGTTGTCAATCTGAGGCTTCTGTGTGGGTAACAAAATATTTCCTTGGGGGTGGGAACAGCGAGTCTACAAGTCCTCTGGGTGACCTCATAACAGGATTGGAAGGGTTATGACTAGTAGTTGCTACAGAAGTCGTCACAGTCCCAATTGGTAGATCCCGCTCTGGTTAAAGCATTAGGAAATCCCCAGGAAAGAAAACCTTTTAGGTCATTCGTAAGTCAAGCCAGAACATCTCCCCCTCAGACACGGCTTCTGAACCCTGGAACCAGGAGACCCCCAGCTCCTTCGAAGAGTGCTGCTTGTCCCCCGCTCTGTCTGATGGGTGCAACTGTGCACCCCAGCTGCCAGGAAAGTCACAACCAAATCTGAAGCTCAGATCCCCGAGTTTAGAATGATGATTAGCATGTCAGCATTCCTTACTCATTTCTTTTGGGGAGATTGTTTGGTTCTGGTTTTTTTTTTTTTTTTTTTTTTTTTTTTGAGGCAAGGTCTCACTCTGTACCCAGGCTGTCCTGGAACTCCTTGTGATGTATCTGCCTCAGCCTCCTGAGTAATGAATGGGACTAGAAGCATGCGTCACCACACCCAACCCTTGCTTTTTTTTTTAATTTTAATTTTATTAATTGTTTTGGCTTTGCCATAAACTTCTTCAGGTCTCCCCCCCCAACAAAGACACACATGGGAACTGAGAACAAGGCTCAACATATGCAGAAATAGCACTAGCTCCTGTTTATGTATACATGTGTCCTCTAGTCCTTTTACTAATCCATTAGGAACGTCTACCAGGGCTTCTCCCCATAGCTCCCTCTCTCTTTCATTCTTGAGACAGAATTGCTTTGTCTCGTGTATCCCAGATGAGACTCTCAAACTCACACTTGTAACGTAGCTGCGGATGACCTTGAACTGTTGGTTCCCGTCTCCACGTGCTGGGATTACAGGTTTGCACCACACACACCACACAGAGCTTCACATTAGGTTTAACCCTCCTTACATATCCAGAAACTGTGACTGGGATAGGACTTCCCGAGGCAATAAAGCTATTAAGTGGTGTACTAATAATGTAGTTCTCCTGTCTGCTTCCCAAGTCTATGTCCTGTGGCTGGGCACATGTCACCGACGACTTGCTGGGTCTCAATTTACTGGCAGACTATATATGTGGCCCCATCTTACGTTTTCCAATGCCTGCTTTCAAATACGTGACTCCAGGTGCTTTTGATGGCTCTTACAACTCTCTGCGCTCCCTTGTTTAGTAAGTAACTGGCGATGCTGTTACAAATTCCTCTAGTCTAGTAGGATTGTGGCCAGGGAAAGGAGACATAGATCTTCCTGAGGGGAAAGGTCCTTTGTGAGATCTGACACTGTGATCGCAGGCTGGCCTAGAACTTGTGATCCTGCCGGTTCAGCCTCCCATGTGCTGCGATTACAGATGCTTAAGCAATCTTGCCTGTACCAGCCTGTGCTCAGCTTTAAACTGCGTTTCTCCTCCTCGGTGACCACCTGCAGGATGGCCCTGTGCTCCTCCACATTGAGCCTCGGTGACGCCCGAGGTCCCTTTTCCACATTCTGAAGGCAGTGGGGCAGGGGATCAGCGGCAAAGGTGTTCTGGTTTTGAGCCACACAGCCCACTCAGATCCTCGAGGTGCTTCACGGTCAGATATCTCTAGTCCACTAGGGGGCACCAGACTCCAGGTTCGTGCGCCCTGCAGCCCCAGAGAGCATTTGCAAAGCTCACTCAAGAATCCTCCCCAAAGCAGACCTCAAGGTTCCTGGGAGCGCGTCTCTGTAGTTCTGCCAGAGTCGGGGCGGGGAGCGGGATGCCCGCGTGCCCTTCCGGTTAGCCTCCCTCCCGCCCCAGCCGCACCCCGAACTGCTACCTTCGCGCTCTTCCACACACACCACGTGGTTTGGCAGCGCCAAACCGCTGCTCACGCCTCTGTTCTCCTCCGCCATTCGCCCACTCTCCGGACGAAGCAGCAACCTCTCACCAGGAGCACAACCATCTCCTCGCCCTGTCCTGAGTGTCAGCTGAGGTTGCAAAAGGGCGAGGTCTGGTGATGGAGGGAAGGGTTGGAAGGGAGCAGCCTGTTCTGCTGGCTCTTCATAGAGACGTGTTTGCAGGCGGGGTGCAGCCTGTGTGCACCGGAATGTGTATACACACACACACA